GTTATATCAACATGGTTGCAGTCAACAATGCCGGGTGTGGGACGCACCAGGAAGCTTTTCCTGAGGAATTGAAGATAAATGGGTCAATCGATACACCTGAACAATCAAAGCAACACAAGGAGGGACCTTGTATCGATGTAAGGAATTAAGAATAGAAATACACGTCATTGGTTTGAAGGGATGAATTTTATATGTGTTTTGACTCCCATTCACATGGATACAACAATCGATATCAAAATATGCAACTGCACAATACTCAGTGGTAGAGCTAGTCGACAACGTGATTCAACACGCGTTTGCATAATTCATGGATTTGTTATCTTGTACAGGTACTCGCTGTGTGTAGTCTTTGACAACATAGGCGTGTGTATGGGTGGTCGGGGTTGATTGTAGTGAGGGTCACTGAGATATATGGCAGAGAAATGGAAATATCATAACCTCAACAGTAAAGTAACTGTCACTGAGATATATGGCAGAGAAATGGAAATATCATAACCTCAACAGTAAAGTAACTGTCACTCAGATGTATGGCAGAGAAAGGGAAATATCATAACCTCAACAGTAAAGTAACTGTCACTGAGATATATGGCAGAGGAAGGCAAATATAATAACCTCAACAGTAAAGTAACTATCGTTCAGATGTTTGGAAGAGGAAGGGAAATATCAGAACCACAACAGTAAAGTAACTGTCACTGAGATATATGGCAAAGGAAGGGAAATATCAGAACCTCAACAGTAAAGGAACTGTCACTGAGATATATGGCAGAGGAAGGGAAATATCATAACCTCAAAAGTAAAGTAACTGTCACTGAGATATTTGGCAGAGGAAGGGAAATATCATAACCTCAACAGCAAAGTAACTGTCACTGAGATATTTGGCAGAGGAAGGGAAAAATCATAACCTCAACAGTAAAGTAACTGTCACTGAGATATATGGCAGAGGAAGGGAAATAACATAACCTCAACAGTAAAGTAACTGTCACTGAGATATATGGCAAAGGAAGGGAAATATCAGAACCTCAACAGTAAAGTAACTGTCACTCAGATATATGGCAGAGGAAGGGAAATATCATAACCTCAACAGTAAAGTAACTGTCACTGAGATATATGGCAGAGGAAGGGAAATATCATAATCTCAACAGTAAAGTAACTGTCACTGAGATATATGGCAGAGGAAGGGAAATATCATAACCTCAACAGTAAAGTAACTGTCACTGAGATATATGGCAGAGGAAGAGAAATATCATTTACTCAACAGTAAAGTAACTTTCACTGAGATATATGGCAGAGGAAGAGAAATATGATAACTTCAACAGTAAAGTAACTGTCACTGAGATATATGGCAGAGGAAAGGAAATATCATAACCTCAACAGTAAAGTAACTTTCACTGAGAAATATGGCAGAGGAAGGGAAATATCATAAACTCTACAGTAAAGTAACTGTCACTGAGATATATGGCAGAGGAAGAGAAATATCATAACCTCAACAGTAAAGGAACTTTCACTGAGATATATGGCAGAGGAAGGGAAATATCAGAACCACAACAGTAAAGTAACTGTCACTCAGATATATGGCAGAGGAAAGGAAATATCATAACCTCAACAGTAAAGTAACTTTCACTGAGATATATGGCAGAGGAAGAGAAATATCATAACCTCAACAGTAAAGTAACTGTCACTGAGATATATGGCAGAGGAAGGGAAATATCATAACCTCAACAGTAAAGTAACTGTCACTGAGATATATGGCAGAGGAAGAGAAATATCATAACCTCAACAGTAAAGTAACTTTCACTGAGATATATGGCAGAGGAAGAGAAATATCATAACCTCAACAGTAAAGTAACTGTCACTGAGATATATGGCAGAGGAAGGGAAATATCATAACCTCAACAGTAAAGTCACTGTCACTGAGATATATGGCAGAGGAAGAGAAATATCATAACCTCAACAGTAAAGTAACTGTCACTGAGATATATGGCAGAGGAAGGGAAATATCATAACCTCAACGGTAAAGTAACTGTCACTGAGATATATGGCAGAGGAAGGGAAACATCATAACCTCAACAGTAAAGTAACTGTCACTGAGATATATGGCAGAGGAAGGGAAATATCATAACCTCTACAGTAAAGTAACTGTCACTCAGATATATGGCAGAGAAAGAGAAATATCAGAACCTCAACAGTAAAGTAACTTTCACTGAGATATATGGCAGAGGAAGAGAAATATCATAACCTCAACAGTAAAGGAACTGTCACTGAGATATATGGCAGAGGAAGGGAAATATCATAACCTCAACAGTAAAGTAACTGTCACTGAGATATATGGCAGAGGAAGAGAAATATCAGAACCTCAACAGTAAAGGAACTGTCACTGAGATATATGGCAGAGGAAGGGAAATATCATAACCTCAAAAGTAAAGTAACTGTCACTGAGATATTTGGCAGAGGAAGGGAAATATCATAACCTCAACAGCAAAGTAACTGTCACTGAGATATTTGGCAGAGGAAGGGAAAAATCATAACCTCAACAGTAAAGTAACTGTCACTGAGATATATGGCAGAGGAAGGGAAATAACATAACCTCAACAGTAAAGTAACTGTCACTGAGATATATGGCAAAGGAAGGGAAATATCAGAACCTCAACAGTAAAGTAACTGTCACTCAGATATATGGCAGAGGAAGGGAAATATCATAACCTCAACAGTAAAGTAACTGTCACTGAGATATATGGCAGAGGAAGGGAAATATCATAATCTCAACAGTAAAGTAACTGTCACTGAGATATATGGCAGAGGAAGGGAAATATCATAACCTCAACAGTAAAGTAACTGTCACTGAGATATATGGCAGAGGAAGAGAAATATCATTTACTCAACAGTAAGGTAACTTTCACTGAGATATATGGCAGAGGAAGAGAAATATGATAACTTCAACAGTAAAGTAACTGTCACTGAGATATATGGCAGAGGAAAGGAAATATCATAACCTCAACAGTAAAGTAACTTTCACTGAGAAATATGGCAGAGGAAGGGAAATATCATAAACTCTACAGTAAAGTAACTGTCACTGAGATATATGGCAGAGGAAGAGAAATATCATAACCTCAACAGTAAAGGAACTTTCACTGAGATATATGGCAGAGGAAGGGAAATATCAGAACCACAACAGTAAAGTAACTGTCACTCAGATATATGGCAGAGGAAGGGAAATATCATAACCTCAACAGTAAAGTAACTGTCACTGAGATATATGGCAGAGGAAGAGAAATATCATAACCTCAACAGTAAAGTAACTTTCACTGAGATATATGGCAGAGGAAGAGAAATATCATAACCTCAACAGTAAAGTAACTGTCACTGAGATATATGGCAGAGTAAGGGAAATATCATAACCTCAACAGTAAAGTAACTGTCACTGAGATATATGGCAGAGGAAGGGAAATATCATAACCTCAACAGTAAAGTAACTGTCACTGAGATATATGGCAGAGGAAGAGAAATATCATAACCTCAACAGTAAAGTAACTGTCACTGAGATATATGGCAGAGGAAGGGAAATATCATAACCTCTACAGTAAAGTAACTGTCACTCAGATATATGGCAGAGGAAGAGAAATATCAGAACCTCAACAGTAAAGTAACTGTCACTGAGATATATGGCAGAGGAAGAGAAATATCATAACCTCAACAGTAAAGTAACTTTCACTGAGATATATGGCAGAGGAAGGGAAATATCAGAACCACAACAGTAAAGTAACTGTCACTCAGATATATTGCAGAGGAAGGGAAATATCATAACCTCAACAGTAAAGTAACTTTCACTGAGATATATGGCAGAGGAAGGGAAATATCATAACCTCAACAGTAAAGTAACTGTCACTGAGATATATGGCAGAGTAAGGGAAATATCATAACCTCAACAGTAAAGTAACTGTCACTGAGATATATGGCAGAGGAAGGGAAATATCATAACCTCAACAGTAAAGTAACTGTCACTGAGATATATGGCAGAGGAAGGGAAACATCATAACCTCAACAGTAAAGTAACTGTCACTGAGATATATGGCAGAGGAAGGCAAATATCACAAAAATCTATGCACAATATCAAAGTGCTTCATTAATTTTCAAGACAAAAAAGATGTAGGTCGGACACAACACGAATATAAATAATTGGGAAGAAACTAGTTTGATTTTTTGTAAATAACATAACAGACTCATTGCTTTGTACATCCGCTTACTTTTCTTGGACCTAGACCTTTCAATGAGGGTTTTTAAAATGAGGGTTTCTAAAATGAACAATATTACATGTTAATACATTGTATCTGGCATTCATCTGGGGAACGGATACATGTTGCATGACTTGAAAGCCAGCTTCTAAACTATTTATGTTTTAATCAGTGAAGGACTCTCGTCAGATCCAAACATAGCCATTGACAGGGAAACCCGTTCAATTGTAATAATTTTAAATAGTGTTGTGTCAACAGTGAAAGTACGACATTATTTGTCTTGTGTCACGTAATTCCCCAGGAATATTCGTAAATAGAATCAGGTAATACCAGATACTGCGTTCTGCACGGGCGACGATCACGCTATACGGCAGTTAGTCGTAAAACACGCCTCCAGGTAGGTCCCCGCTTAAAGCATTATTCTGTATCAAGTGTGTTACTGTGAAGGGTTTGTGCATTTATTTGTTTGTTTGTTGGCTTGTTGTTTAACGCCACACTCAACAATATTCCAACAATATGGCGGCGGCCTCTAAACGATGGATTCTTGACCATACAATCCGTTGATTGACATCATGACCATCGATCCACGCAATTGGGATACGATGACATGCATCAACCAAGTCAGCGAGCCTGACCACCCGATCCCGTTAGTCGCCTCTAACGACAAGCATAGTTGCCTTTTACGGCATGCATGGGTTGCTAAAGACATATTCTAACCCGGATCTTCACGGGTCGGTTTGTGCAATTAAGGGTATTGATATTTATAAGAATGTTTCACGCGTTTAAGGTTGTCGAAGGTTTGTCTCTGAGCAGTGTGAAAGTCACATCAGGTTATCTTGCATGAAATGCTAAAGACTAAAAGCTGAAGTGACGGAGTAGCCCCATTTTGTAACCCAGGAGCACAGAGTTGGCTCTGAGAAACAAAGTATCAGGGCACAACTTATGCATCTGGAATATTGTAATATCGCAGACTCATTTTCTTTTCAGATTTTAACATGGCTGACGCAGAATATAAAATCAGTGTAACTGCTGCTGGAAATGGTAGCCACGTGGGGAGTGCCAATGCCGCCGGTTTCGTCCACGGTGGAATGGGAAATAGCGAGACCACAAACTATAACCAAGGTTCAGCATCATCACCTTTACGTTATATATTAAAATATCTATCATGTCATGGGTAATGTTGATATTTCTGTAACCAATAGGGGCCCAGTCGTCTAAGGCGCCGCGATTCGCTGTGCAGAGTTGCGTCGCTTAAGCACGCTAGAAACCTATGATTGTGGGTTCCAATCCCGGTTCGCCCCGATTATGTTTCTAGGTTTGTCAGCACCATACCCGTGCTCGAGGGTCTCATCGAAGTGGTAAACGTCAGATACCTGCATCACTTCGGGCTTTCCTCCCACATTAAGCTGACACGCCGTGATGTAACTGGAATACTGTTAAAAGCGGGCTTAAACCCAACTCACTCACTCACTGTAACCAATATTGCATGTACACATTTACTTAATGTTTTGAGATAATAGATTGAGGTTTTGTAGCTTTGGTTTATATACTGAAGATGAAAAGTAAAATGTTAGAAATGAGATCAACTGTATTCAATCAATTATCTGTTGTTTCCTCATAACATATTATACCATAATATATTCCTCCTATATTAAATGTATTTCAATGCTTTTTAAAATATTTATTATATATTATTATAATAATAGGAAGCCGGAGCATCGTGAACGAAGGCCAGATAGGGAACATAGCAACTGGTGACAACCACAGTGGCAACATGACAGCGTCGGTTCCCGGGCAACAAGGAGCAGAAAGCAAGATTGGTAAGACGGATATGAATCTGGAACTTATTCTAGTACATCTGTGTGACACTTTCGTGGTTAAAACTATAGATTGAGTAGATGACTGGTTGAGAAGAGTTTTCCAAATTATTAAAGTCAGAGTCTGTGTTCCATGGATGCGTGCTCACGGCGTGTCTAGGCGAGTGAGCTTCGTTAATTGTCGCTCTGAGGAGTATTCCAGTGATACCGCGGCGGGTCAGCTGGTTGGTTGGTTTGTTGTTTAACGCCGCACTCAGCAATATTCCAGCTATATGGCGGTGGTCTGGAAATAATCGAATCTGGACCAGACAATCCAGTGATTAGTATCATGAGCATCGATCAACGCAATTGGGATCGATGACATGCCTCAACCAAGTCAGCGAGCCTGATCACCCGATCCTGTTAGCGCCTTTTACGACAAGCATAGTCGCCTTTTACGACAAGCATAGTCGCCTTTTACGGCAAGCATGGGTTGTTGAAGACCTATTCTACCCCGGATCTTCACAGGTCAGCTAGATATGGGCTGAAAGACGGAAGTGGTGCAGTACTTTGACGTTTTCCCCTTAGTTAAACCCACGAGCCAAATTATGTTTCTGATAAACCAAGAAAAATAGTTGGATTCGAACCCACGATAACAGACGCCGTAGACGACTGGTACTAATACGTAAAACTGATATATGAAACTGATACATGATTTATCTGAATTTAGAAAACATGCTTGATTGATGTGGACCATCATAATATGATAGAAATTGTGACAGATAATTAATGAGAGCTTAAATGGCTCGAACCGAACTTACTCGAAATGGCATATACTAGATATACACTATGTCATTTTGAAGGGTAGGAGAGGTCTTCAGCAACCCATGCTTGCCGTAAAAGGTGACTATGCTTGTCGTAAGAGGCGACTAACGGGGTTAAACTACAAACCAACAAATCATATTGAATACATATTGATATGATACGCAGAAAAACATGTTACCTTGAAGAGTTGATATCGCCATTTCATGTGTTTTGTATAGATAGCGATTTATCATTATCATAGAAACATTTAATTATGAAAAGTGTCGGTATTTGGCTGTGTACTTGTCATTAAGGTTGTTTTAGATCAGATTAAAATTGACTTGTACATGTTGCAATGTAGTCATAATGATAGTGAGTGAGTGAGTGAATATGGTTTTACGCCGCTTTTAGCAATATTCAAGCAATATCACGAGGGTGGACACCAGAAATGGGCTTCAGATATTGTACCCATGTCGGGAATAGAACCCGGGTCTTCGGCGTGACGATCGAACGCTTTTACCACTAGGCTACCCGACCGCCCCTTCATAATGATCAAGTTTGATGTCAGTAGAAATATATGATTGTAAGAAAATTTACCTGTCGTTTTGACAGATCCTGAAAAACTGACCCCAGGTGGACTAATACAAGTTTTGAAGAAGCGCCACTGCACAGATGCCACAATTCATATTTTTGAGACACATAAGGTTGACGGGCGATTGTTCATGGAACTAGATGATGAATTTCTGGACGAACTGGGAATTGACAGCAAGATCGAACGAAGGAAGCTCAAACTTTTAAAGGAAGACATCAACGGGTGAATCGCTTTTTCATTATCAAAGAAGAAAGTGTTTAATTTCCGTTGTGAAACTGAACTGTGATGGGCGTCGTGATTTGTAATTATTTGTAATTGAGTTTTTGTAATATTCGTTGTCAGATTTAGCAGATATATAGAGAATTTCACCCGAGTGTCTTTTGATATAAAATTTATCAACACGAGTTGATAAAAGTGGAACAAACCCGAGGCTTGCTTTATATCTCCTGTGGGAGCCAGTTTTGGATGATAAATACAAGTACATGCAGTTAAAGAAGGCATGATGAAGGATGCATATATCACCTGAATCCGTGTGGAACACGCCTCATCGCTGTGGAGGCACCTCGCAGTGAATAAGGTTTGCGAACATGTTCATTTCTCATGAACTATACAATGACCTAATATCTCCCTGCTAAAACATATTTTGTGGTGTAAAAATATTATTAAAAACCCCTTGCCTTCTTGTGCTGTGTTTAATTTGTTTTCCCATGCAAACTGTATACACAGTGGTTGGGATTCCTAGGCCGATTAGTTGGTTGGTTGGTTTGTTGTTTAACGCCGCACTCAGCAATATTCCAGCTATATGACGACGGTCTGTAAGTAATCGAGTCTGGACCAGACAATCCAGTAATTAATGTCACGAGCATCGATCCACGCAATTGGGATCGATGACATGCATCAACCGAGTCAGCGAGCCTGACCACCCGATCCCGTTTGTCTCCTTTTACGACAAGCATAGTCACCTTTAACGGCAAGCATGTGTTGCTGAAGACCTATTCTACCCCGGAATCTTCACGGTCCCTGGGCCGATTAGGCAAACGTACCCGATGTTTAGTGATAAGAACCTACTATCCGGTGGTTACGATATGTGCCTAGGCTTGTTGAGGGCAGAGGGTCGTTTCGCAATCTGTCAACCTCAGACGTTGCACATATACGATTTTAGCTGTCACTGTTCTCGCTATGCTGTCAATTGACTACTTCCTTAATCAATGAAATCATTCATTTGAGACTACACATTTATCTGTCAATACTAGATAATCAAATATTGAATATTATCGAACATAATTAAAGATTGATATTGAAGTAATGTTAATTCTTAAATTATGTAAAAATATGTAAAAAAAAATACATTCACGCCATTGCAGTATATTCAATACATATAATTCAGTATGTAATATTCATGAAAATCGTTCCATTATGTTGTTACTTCTGATCGACAAATGGAGACCAAAAGATAATAATTGTAACAGGCTTTTGAAACCGTCCCTATCTGTTTGTTCTGAAATAAATTCCACAACTACATGTATAGTTTTTTACAGTGTGTCTTGTCGTAACACCGAAGGTAATTGGTAATGGTGACATGATACATCAGTAAATACATTGATGAGGTGTATACTATATATAAACTGTACTTACCTCATGAATATATTAGTTTCCAAGAAAGTTTGCATTTAAGAAGAAACACGCTGGGAGTAGAAAACATTAACTACGTGAAAGGAAATGCCGTTATATTGTCCAGGTATCAGGTGACGGTGGTAGTCAAATGATGCATAATGATCCCTAAAATCCGATAACTGTCGCACAATGTCTTTCCGGGTAGCGCATCAAGTAATCTAGGTCAACACTGCAGTTACTGATACAATGTGTCGAGCTGAGAGTGTTGTGTCCGACCGAGACCTCCGCATTAAAGAACGCCTGTCGGAACTGTCGTATGGTTGCACAGAGAAATATTTCTAAAAGAAAATAATTTCATTTTAAATGAAAGAAGAGAGCATTATGAAACTACCCAAGGTCAATTGGGATGTTGTATAAATGTATATTTAGTTATTATACCACTGATTAGTTAATTGATCAAATGTGTGCAACAATCATCAACGCCACGGTTTGATGGTGAGGCGCATTCGTCTTTTGTGTGCAAAAAAACTACAGAGGCCGATAGTCAGACTATTGATCACAATGTTTCTCTATTCTAGTGTTTTTTAATCGATAGCAATACCTATTATTAGAGCTGACTTGAAACACGCGTCATTACGCGCACGACCCGTGAAGATCCGGGGTAGAGTCGATCTTTAAACATCTCATGGTTGCCGTAAAAGGCGACTGTGCTTGTCGTAAGAGGCGACTGTTAGGCGACTGTAATATGACTGTAATTTGATAGAAATTGTGACAGATAATGAGAGCTTAAATGGCTCGAACCGAACTGACTCGAAATGGCATATACTAGATATACACTATGTCATATTGAAGGGTAGGAGAGGTCTTCAGCAACCCATGCTTGCCGTTAAAAGGTGACTATGCTTGTCGTAAGAGGCGACTAACGGGATCGGGTGGTCAGGCTTGCTGACTTGGTTGATGCATGTCACCGTATCCCAATTGCGTGGATCGATGGTCATGATGTCAATCACTGGATTGTCTGGTCCAGACAAGATTATGTACAGACCGCCATCATGAAGCTTGAATATTGCTGAATGCAGCGTTAAACAACAAACCAAAAACCATTACACGCACACATGTATACTCACGTAACTGATAAAATTTGAAAAATAATAGCCTCGATAATAGTAGACACTCTTTAACTCCAATTTCTCGATGCACAAATTAAATACTATGTGTACCCAAATTTATATATAATCGTGCGTGCATGTATATGGGACAGTGTACGCAGTCCTAACACACAAAAGTGTTTACATACATGCATATCAGCCTACTTGACCTCTTGTATTTGCGCTACATTAGTATTGAAACAATTTTGACCTGGTTGGGACCTCACAACTCCTAACCGATATGTAATTTTGAAATATTTTTATCTCTTTGTTTGTCTTCCCTGTTATCGCCGACTGCACTGATATGGGTCATGTGTTATCGTTCAGAGGGTAGCTGACTGTTGAATAAGGCCAGCATATCACCTTATTGTGCTTTATGTGTAATGCATTTGGTGACCTGCAGGGAGCATTAATTTACATGAATAAGCAGTCATTGCAAGTATCGTGTCATACAAAGCAAACTGTGGCTTTCTCAGAAAGAAAGAATAGGATGTAACGGGGAGCGTCTCAAACATTAAACAGAAAATTTCCCGCGAATGTAGTCGTCTGGGGAAAAACAATCTATAAATATATCTAACTCCAGTAACCTTTGAGATCTTGACATTAACTTCGACTCTCAATCTGTTCTCGTTCTCAAACATCAAACAGAAAATATCCCGAAAACGTATTTTACTGGGAAAACCAGTCTATAAATATATCTAACTCGAGTTACCTTTGAGATCTTGACATTGACTTCGACAGTGGTTGTTACAGTCTTCATTTATGCTCAAGGGTGGGGTTGTGTAGTGTGTTGTGTAGCGTATCGATATGTGGTGCATCGCGGTCACTGTGTGTTATGTAGCCGAGTGACGTGTCTCGTTGTAGGTATTACTGTGTATAGTGTAGACATGGAGTATGTGACTGTGTGTTTTGTAGCCGTGTGACGTGTCTCGTTGTAGATATTACTGTGTAAAGTGTAGACATGGAGTATGTGACTGTGTGTTATGTAGCCGTGTAACGTGTCTCGTTGTAGGTATTACTGTGTAAAGTGTAGACATGGAGTATCTGACTGTGTGTTATGTAGCCGTGTAACGTGTCTCGTTGTAGATATTACTGTGTAAAGTGTAGACATGGAGTATGTGACTGTGTGTTATGTAGCCGTGTGACATGTCTCGTTGTAGGTATTACTGTGTATAGTGTAGACATGGAGTATGTGACTGTGTGTTATGTAGCCGTTTGACGTGTCTCGTTGTAGGTATTACTGTGTATAGTGTAGACATGGAGTATGTGACTGTGTGTTATGTAGCCGTTTGACGTGTCTCGTTGTAGGTATTACTGTGTATAGTGTAGACATGGAGTATGTGACTGTGTGCTATGTAGCCGTGTGACATGTCTCGTTGTAGGCATTACTGTGTATAGTGTAGACATGGAGTATGTGACTGTGTGCTATGTAGCCGTGTGACGTGTCTCGTTGTAGCTATTACTGTGTAAAGTGTAGACATGGAGTATGTGACTGTGTGTTATGTACCCGTGTGACGTGTCTCGTTGTAGGTATTACTGTGTATAGTGTAGACATGGAGTATGTGACTGTGTGCTCTGTAGCCGTGTGACGTGTCTCATTGTAGGTATTACTGTGTATAGTGTAGACATGGAGTATGTGACTGTGTGTTATGTAGCCGTGTGACGTGTCTCGTTGGTGTCTCGTTGTAGCTATTACTGTGTATAGTGTAGACATGGAGTATGTGACTGTGTGCTATGTAGCCGTGTGACGTGTCTCGTTGTAGGTATTACTGTGTAAATTGTAGACATGGAGTATGTGACTGTGTGTTATGTAGCCGTGTGACGTGTCTCATTGTAGTGAGTGAGTGAGTGAGTATGGTTTTATGCCGCTTTTAGCAATATTCCAGCAATATCACGGCGGGGGACACCAGAAATGGGCTTCACACATTGTACCCATGTCGGGAATCGAACCCGGGTCTTCGGCGTGACGAGCGAACGCTTAAACCACTAGGCTACCCGACCGCCCCTCTCATTGTAGGTATTACTGTGTAAAGTGTAGACATGGAGTATGTGACTGTGTGTTATGTAGCCGTGTGACGTTTCTCGTTGTAGGTATTACTGTGTATAGTGTAGACATGGAGTATGTGACTGTGTGCTATGTAGCCGTGTGAAGTGTCTCGTTGTAGCTATTACTGTGTATAGTGTAGACATGGAGTATGTGACTGTGTGCTATGTAGCCTTGTGACGTGTCTCGTTGGTGTCTCGTTGTAGCTATTACTGTGTATAGTGTAGACATGGAGTATGTGACTGTATGTTATGTAGCCGTGTGACGTGTCCCGTTGTAGGTATTACTGTGTAAAGTGTAGACACGGAGTATGTCACTGTGACGTGAGTTGTTGTAGTGCTTGTTGTTGCGTAGCATACCAGTGTGAAGTGTTGCGTTGTTTCATGTCACCGAGGAGCGCGGTGAAGTATCCCATTGAGTAATGTGTCATTGGGTAGGGCGTCACTGTGAAATGTGTCACTGGCTAGAGCGTCAATGAGGAATTTATCACTGGGTAGAGCGTCAGTGTGTAGTGTGTCACTGGCTAGAGCGTCAATGTGGAATTTATCACTGGGTAGAGCGTCAGTGTGTAGTGTGTCACTGGCTAGAACGTCAATGTGGAATTTGTCACTGGGTAGAGTGTCAGTGTGTAGTGTCACTTGGTAGAGCGTCACTGTGGAATGTGTCACTGGGTAGAGAGTAAGTGTGTAGTGTGTCACAGGGTAGAGCGTCGCTGTGTAGTGTGTCTCTGGGTAGAGCGTCGCTGTGAAGTGTGTCACCCGGTAGAGCGTCAGTGTGTAGAGTGTCTCTGGGTAGAGAGTCAGTGTGTAGTGTGTCACTGGGTAGAGTGTGAGTGTGTAGTGTGTCACTGGGTAGAGCGTCGCTGTGTAGTGTGTCACTGGGTAGAGCGTCAGTGTGTAGTGTGTCACTCGGTAGAGCGTCAGTGTGTAGTGTGTCACTTGGTACAGCGCCATTATCAGTGTGTAGTGTGTCACTGGGTAGAGCGTCAGTGTGTAGTGTGTCACTGGGAAGAGCGTCAGTGTGTAGTGTGTCACTGGGTAGAGCGTCAGTGTGTACTGTGTCAATGGGTAGAGAGTCAGTGTGTAGTGTCACTGGGTAGAGTGTCAGTATGTAGTGTGTCACTGGGTAGAGTGTCAGTGTGTAGTGTGTCACTGGGTAGAGCGTCAGTGTGTAGTGTGTCACTTGCTAGGGCGTCAGTGTGTACTGTGTCACTGGGTAGAGCGTCACTGTGGAATGTGTCACTGGGTAGAGTGTCAGAGTGTAGTGTGTCACTGGGTAGAGTGTCACTGTGGAATGTGTCACTGGGTAGCGTGTCAGTGTGTAGTTTGTCACTGGGTAGAGTGTCACTGTGGAATGTGTCACTGGGTAGAGTGTCAGTGTGTAGTGTGTCACTGGGTAGAGCGTCAGTGTGTAGTGTGTCACTGAGTAGAGTGTCACTGTGGAATGTGTCACTGGGTAGCGTGTCAGTGTGTAGTGTGTCGCTGGGTAGAGCGTCAGTGTGTAGTGTGTCACTGGGTAGACTGTCAGTGGGTAGTGTGTCACTGAGTAGAGTGTCACTGTGGAATGTGTCACTTGGTAGCGTGTCAGTGTGTAGTGTGTCACTGGGTAGAGCGTCAGTGTGTAGTGTGTCACTGAGTAGAGTGTCACTGTGGAATGTGTCACTGGGTAGGGTGTCAGTGTGTAGTGTGTCACTGGGTAGAGCGTCAGTGTGTAGTGTGTCACTGGGTAGAGTGTCACTGTGGAATGTGTCGCTGGGTAGCATGTCAGTGAGTAGAGTGTCACTGTGGAATGTGTCACTGGGTAGAGTGTCGGTGCGTAGTGTGTCACTGAGTAGAGCGTCAGTGTGTAGTGTGTCACTGGGTAGAGCGTCAGTGTGTAGTGTGTCACTGGGTAGAGTGTGTAGTGTGTAGTGTGTCACTGGGTTGAGAGTCAGTGCGCAGTGTGACACTGGTTAGAGCGTCAGTGTGTAGTGTGTCTCTGGGTAGAGCGTCGCTGTTAAGTGTGTCACTGGGTAGAGTGTAAGTGTGTAGTGTGTCTCTGGGTAGAGAGTCAGTGTGTAGTGTGTCACTGGGTAGAGTGTCACTGTGGAATGTGTCACTGGGTAGAGAGTAAGTGTGTAGTGTGTCACTGGGTAGAGCGTCGCTGTGTAGTGTGTCTCTGGGTAGAGCGTCGCTGTGAAGTGTGTCACTGGGTAGAGCGTCAGTGTGTAGTGTGTCACTGGGTAGAGCGTCAGTGTGTAGTGTGTCACTGGGTAGAGCGTCAGTGTGTAGTGTGTCACTAGGTAGAGCGTCAGTGTGTAGTGTGTCACTGGGTAGAGCGTCAGTGTGTACTGTGTCAATGGGTAGAGCGTCAGTGTGTAGTGTGTCACTGGGTAGAGTGTCAGTATGTAGTGTGTCACTTGGTAGAGCGTCAGTGTCTAGTGTGTCACCGGGGAGGGCGTCAGTGTGTATTGTGTCACTGGGTAGAGAGTCAGTGTGTAGTGTGTCACTGGGTAGAGCGTCACTGAGTAGTGTGTCGACCTTTTTTGACTAGAATAATTGTGAACTTTTTGTTCGAATATTTCTCCTGTAAACTTGTCGAAAGGACCACAGGTAGGTCGATCGGTATTTACTCTATATTACAACAGCAACAATTATTTTTTTTTATACTTTTTAAACGGGCAAAAAGCATTTTTCTAGCATTTCCGACAGTTTTTTTTTAGTGTCTTACTGTGGACGGTGATTTCGATGAGATATGAACGGTTAGAATATTGTTTTCTTGTCAACTTATAGCGCTTTCGGTGCAATTGAAAACAGCAATGCATTGTTGTGTGATATGTCAAACATCCTGTTTCATGCCCACGATTTCAAAACTGAAAACTCACGAATATGAACATTACAAGTACTGTTACATACTCCTAGCGATCATGAAACTGAACATGCTTTTGTCTGGCGTGCTCCTTGGCAAGACATATATTAGGGTGCTGTTTTTGGTGAATTAATCCACATGCGTGAGGCTATAGACAGACAGACAGACAGACAGACAGAAGGACAGACATACAGACAGAAAAACAGACGGACCGTCGGACTGGCAGAGAGACAGACAGAAGGACAGACGGGCGGACGGACAGACAGACAACGGACGGACGACAAACATACGTACGTACGGACGGACAGACAGAGACAGACAAAGAGACAGAGTTAATTCAGTATTCAAGGCCTCCGACCTATAACACAAAAGCACAGTCAACATGAAATGTCACTGTTATTGAACACAAGGGTCAAAGCAAGGATGTGTGTTTGTTTGAGGAGTTGCCTCCCTCAACTACAAGGATCCGCTGGTCGTGCGGTCGAATGTGAACTCAATTTACACAGAACAGTTATAGAAACGACTGTTAAAGAAACGATTATTATCGAAACGATTGTTCTCGGAATGATTTTACGACTCTTCACAGATGTAACAAATGCTATATTTGGGATAACACTTTCTTAGTAAAGTACAGATTCTCGTACTGTTTCACAGAAACTACTGAACGCTGAGGGAGTTTCGTAATGATAACGCTTCACAACTGACCACTATGACCGTGGAACAACCACTTTTCAATGCCTATGGGACCCGTGAAGATCCGGGGTAGAACAGGTCTTCAGCAATCCATGCTTGTCGTAAAAGGCGACTAACGGGATTGGGTGGTCAGGCTCGCTGACTTGGTTGATGCATGTCATCGTATCCCAATTGCGTGGATCATGCTCATGATGTCAATCACTGGATTGTCTGGTCCAGACTCGATTATTTACAGACCGCCGTCATATAGCTGGAATATTGCTGAGTGCTGCATTAAACAAACAAACAAAACGTACAGATGTTATGTACATGTTTTATGTATATAATGCAGTTTGTTTCAAGAGAAGAAAATATTTTTCTCATATTTGTTCTCTTGAAGTTATTTCAACCTATATGCTACATTGAAATGGGTAGTGTAATCACATGTGTTTAGGTATTTTGCAAGAAACTACCATTTTCTACGTTGTCACTGTCTTTGTCTCTGGAAGACGAAAATATTCAAATTTGTCCCCCCTCTTTATTTTGTATGACAGTTTTGTAAGTCGTATATTCTCGATATATTTTCCGTACAAGTTCACAAGAATCATGCTTAATCCTGCTTGATCTTGTCTATGACACTTTCCATATTTACGAATGTTTGCTTTACAATTTCTTTTGGAGTTTTCAGGGCACATACAATTCCGACTAACAGCACACACAGCCCATGGTCTAACTACTGCGTCCCTCACAAACTGTTCATTATGAAGAAATATAAAACCACCACTTGACATTTTGTAAGGGGCATATACACAGGATGTGGTATTGAAGTAGCTCATCATTCGAGTGTCAGTGTGTTGAGCCAAGGACCCATGTCCCTTTCTGATGACCATTCCCTGAATCTGGACATCCTGGAGTGTCTCCATCAACCCCTGCATTGTCAGTCTAACAGAGGCGTCCATCCACACCAGTATGTCTGCAGCCTTGATATTGGCCTGAAATTGATACATGGAATTTACACACACGGTTAGCTCCGCTGTTTAACAGAAAGCTTTCCTACTGTTGGTTTGTTTGTTTGTTTGTTTTTTGTTTAACGCTGCACTCAGAAATATTCCAGCTATATGACGGAGGTCTGTAAATATTCGAGTCTGGACCAGACAATCCAGTGACTGACATCATGAGTATCTATCCACGCAATTGGGATCGATGACATGCATCACCCAAGTCATGATCAGCGAGCCTGACCACCCGATCGCGTTGGTCGCCTCTTTCGACGAGCATAGTCGTCTTTTACGGCAAGCATGGGTTGCTGAAGACTTATTCTACCCCGGATCTTCACGGGTCGCTTTCCAACTGAATGTCTCGTCACACGCAATCAGTGGCAAAATGAATGCTGATGCAATTCTTTATTTTGACATGTACCATGTCTTCCTGTTTTTTTAGGTGAACAATTGACTTGCCTTTGCATGTGTTGTGACGGGTGCCACCGGTGTGGCAGGATAGGCTCACCTTTTCGCGAACACCCGGCATCTTCACGATTTAATAGTGATTTTTTAACACATTCTCTCGATATAGTCGGAATTGTACAATCGAATCTTTTAGCAGAGATTCTTACGAATATGGAAAGGGGTTTGTCGATTTTATATACCTTTATACTGACAGGAAAGACACCTACCTGCCAGTGTCAGGTTATCAATTCATATATTCAGACAACAGCACGCAGGGCAGCATTTATATTAGTCATAGAATCATTTACATTTTTAAAACGAGTATTATACTATACCTGTACTATCAGAGGCTTCCACGTGTAACATGTTAACTTTTGCATCCAGTATTCCATCTTCAGCACTGGGAAAGTTTTCACTTCACAGTTGCAATATTTCTTCACCTGTTCAAGATAAATTGGGGGTTTCTAGTTTTGTCAACGAGTTTGGTGTATTTCATCCGAAATTACAAAGAGGTAAGATTAGATTTTATCCATAATCATTATGATGAATAATGTATTTATTGTGTTTAGAATATTTGAAAGATAATAATAAAGCTGATCGTTAGGACGCATTTTGTCGAAATTAAGAATCACAGTGTATTTTGTTTGCACAAATTGCAAGTTTGTTTAAAACTTGCTCCTGTAAAGGTTACGTCAAAAGGAGAGGCAAAATGCATTTATGACATAATGACGTCACAGAGAGGGGTTTGTGTGTTGTTTTACGCCGCACTCAGCAATATTCCAGCTATATGACAGTGGTCTGAAATCATGAGCATCAATCCACGCATTTGGATCGATGACAAGTCAGCGAGCCGGACCACCCGATCCCGTTAGTCACCTCTTACGACAAGCATAGTCGCCTTTTACGGCAAGCATTGGTTGCTGAAGACCGATTCTACCCCACATCTTCACGGGTCGACCTCACATAGAAGGAACTTTTCTTTGTACTGAAGTCGAAAGTTTGTATTTGCAGTTGGAACGGGTGCAAGTTCACTCCAAATGCCAATCTTCACAATTATGATTTATGATTTATGTAATTAAAAACCTACTTTTGTGTCTGCAACGTTTAGTATGTGCAGCAATCTAGCTGTTAATGAATAACCTAATTTCTCAATTGCATGGCATCAATTACAATGGCTTCAAACGAGCACGCAGCCACGGAGCAGAGTCTCTGTTTAATGCATGTGTATGTTTATGTATTATATGTCTGCACCTAAACTTATTGTTTACCTCAGCGCGCTCTTGGAGCGTAAGTCCAAGATCATAAAAGATGAGGGAATAATTACTGAAGTTTGGAGCGACAGTTTCATGAAAGTTTTTCAGCATTGCTTGAAACTCCAGATAATGGTTGGATGACGCCGCCGTAATAAAGAGAAGCCGTTTCCCTGTTGGCTGTACTTGCAGTTCTTTCAACTGCATAATTCTGTTCAATGTTTCTACGTTCGACGAGTTCATCGTGTCTATAACACTGTGAAGTCTGGCTGGGAGACTCTCTGGTTCGGTGTGAACACAATTCAGATCAACACATTCTTCATCTAAGACAATAGAAAATAGATTAAGGTATACTGTTATACAGTGATGTCTTCGTTTGGGTGCACAACAGCTACACGCCAGTCAACATACTCCCGTGAGTGATGCATGTCCATTTATGATTATCATTGTGTTTTTTATAACATTTTACTGGTCCTCAGAAACATATTATCATTATCTGTTCAGTTTTTAAAATGATATATCAGGTTAAAAACTTGTGTCATTATATTTTCCATGAATGAGAAAAAAACAAAAGTTGTTTTACCTGACGGCAAACTGTTGGTACAAATACTGTTTGGTTCTTTGGTCTTCTGAGTTACCTTCTGTAGTGCTGTGAAGGTAAAACAATAACTTGCAGTCTCTTGAGAAACAGCAACGATGTGTGGCATGTTACACCTTTTAATTCTATCTGTTTTGTGGACTTGTCCTCATAGTTTTTAATGTGCATACTCCGCAGTGCCAAATCGATTCATCCATAATAACCGACAGTCGTGTGATTGCAATGTGATCAGCAGTATAATTTGCATCCTACAGCCTTGGAAATACCAATTCGACTTGCAGACTCCTATTGATTCCCTGTGAGAAGCAAAGTCTAAGGACCTGGAAAATGAAATTTGATGAATGTGTGGCTATTCAGCTTTTATCAATGTTCTAGTCACATCACAGATACCAAGTGTGCGGATACACACCGCGTCGAAGTGGGCAAACTGGACCGTGTCTTCAAGGTTGCCTATTTAATTGATTGATTTTCAGAAAATTTAGACAGTGCATGCCACATTAAAGAAATATTGTAAAAGGTATTATTTCAACTCACACTCTATTTTCAAGCTGATTTAACCTTTTGTGTACTAAAGTGTACAAGGTTATTTAGAAACATTTCTTCCATCACATAATGACCCGTGAAGATCCGGGGTAGAATAGGTCTTCAGCAACCCATGCTTGCCGTAAAAGGCGACTATGCTTGTCGTAAGAGACGACAAACGGGATCGAGTGGTTAGGCTCGCTGAATTGGTTGATGCATGTCATCGATCCCAATTGTCTGGATCGATGCTCATAATAGTAATCACGGGTATTTACAGACCGCCGTCATAAAGCTGGAATATTGCTGAGTGCGGCGTTAAACAACAAACAAACAAACAAACAAACATAATGACATGAAGTTTCTGTTATGCATTTTGTCATCTCACATATCCATCCACATTTGACAATAAGCACATATCACAAGATAGCAGCTGTGATTCAATTCCAGTGTAAGTATGAGACGTACCTTCCATTTTCAGCTGGTACAGCTTCAGTAAACGTGTAAAGTGGTCTTCATGGTCATGTCGGTGACCTGACAATATACGTAAAATATGTCAGTACGTAGAACGCGGCTTGATGATACAGTGGATATTTTCGATAACCATACCAAACAACTGCACAAAAAAGAATTTTATGGTTATAGTATTTCTTAAATTTAAACTTTTGTCAGTATGAAGTCTTTCGTAATTTCTTTGTGAATCTTTACTTGTACGTGTAGGGGTTTTGTCACCACCATTTATTGTGGAACTTGCTCAGGATTTCATAGGAAACGTATCTATGTACATGTAAAACTTTAAAGGATCATGTCGATATGCTACGACCAGTGACTTGTCCTGCATGTGCAAGATTTAGTGAGTTGGATTTAACGCCGCTTTTAACAGTATTCCAGTTATATCACGGCTTGTCAGCTTAATGTGGGAGGAAAGCCTGCAGTGATGCAGGTCTCAGACGTTTACCACTTCGGCGAAACCCACGAGCACGGGTATGATGCTGACAAACCTAGAAACATAATCGAGGCGAACCGGGGTCGAACCAACAATGATAGGTTTCTGGGGTGCCCAAGGGACGCAACTCTGCAGAGCGAATCGCGGCACCTTAGACGACTGGGCCACCCGTGCCCCCGGGTGTGCAAGAACACAGGTACACCGGGGATATCGTTTTGCGAACACTGGCGATAACATGAAATAGCAAACACAACTAACCAAGGTTCCCAGTTCGGAGATGCCTATCAGTAGTCCCCAGTGACATCATGTGAGGACCCTCAGTCCTTAGAACTGTCAGATACGCCATGAAGAGGCCAGCCACAACCAGCATCAGTGAAAGTGCAACTGTTTTGTAGCCTTCAATGCAAGGTGAGTTTTGAAGCATGCTTTCCTTGTATTTTATTTTGCAAATAACAAGACATTCCTGCTTCTATTATTAACATAATTTGATTGTGTATGCCTTATCATTGCGACTTGAAGTTTGAACTTCACCCAACCACATTCCCCCCACAGCGCCCCAACCTTCACATCCAACCCTCATCGAACCCCTATCCCTCAATGAGACACGTGATAGTGGGGCATTTTGATATCATCATTGCATGATCAGATTAATCGCTTTAAGGTTGTAATTAATAATTACCTATTTAGCACTCATGACACACTTGTTTAATAATATGTGTAATATAAACAATGTTTAGGAACTTCTGTGAGAGGCATTTAGAAGTTGTAGTGCTAAGTAAGGATAGAATTTACGGATGAACAACTTCTTTATTACAATTAAGAGCGATGTTTCGGTGTAGGTTCTAACACCACTCCCTATAACATCAGATACCTACTGTATAAACATTGCCTCCTACCTGTATATATACTTGTCAACCATACTCTGGATATCACTCTGTATCGGCATCCTTATCAACAAACCCCAAAATGTAACACAATCATATAAGCTCCCAAATAATCAATCAATTTTCACAGCCAAATTAATGGGGATAGTGACAGCCCTGCACAGCGATAAAAAAATAGACACTGAAAAACCCTAATCCTTTCAAAGTGGGCTCCAGGCCATACATATCTAAAACACAAACAAGCCCAAACTAATACAACAGATAATTAAAAGCGCCAACAATCTACGTAAACTAGGTAAAGACAAAGAAATAGTTTGCATCCCTGCCCACGTTGGAGTGTTTGGTCACGCAGCCAAATCAGCACTAAAATTAGAAGAAGTAAGCATCAACCTACCAATATCAAAAAACGAAATTAAAAGTATCACAATGGAGAAAATCATCCAAAAGTGGCAAAATAACTATCAGAAATCTGATTGCAAACTAAAACACATGCAAGAAAAGCCTATCAAAAACCCAAAAATCCATCATAAAACATAAAATAAAAGTACAACAAACTAGCTGCCAATAAACCCTAAAGTTGTAAACCTATAAAACAAACACAAACTCCTTTTAGTCCCCCCATACCCCCACCCCCCTCCATCTTTTGCATGACATATTTCAAAATTCCAAATTTGTTCTCCAAATTAAGTAAGCAGCCCCAAACAGCCCCACCTAGGTTGCCTCACCTTTTCGGACGTACCCTTTTCGACCAAACACTAAAGGGCCTGGCGGGCCCGGGTGCGAAATACACACGTTAAATTCCTAAGTCATGTATATCACTTGCTTGATAACGGTGTTAGAACCTACACCGAAACGTCGCTCATAATTGAAATAAAGAAGTTGTTCATCCATAAATTAAATTAAATTTAACTATTGTAGTACGGAGACAAACATAATTTATTTTCAGTGTAAAACGTAAGTTTCTTGCAGATTGGAAGGCGCAAAATTTTAGATTTGATATATGACAAACTACGAGTGAAAAGTACCTATCATCTCCACAGACTTGGTTGCAGCAATACTTGATAACCCGCTGACAAGCACTTGAACTGCAACATACATATAAAGTACAGATATATTGCACTAACACTGAACGAATATGTCTGATTCCACATCGATGAACATGTTATACACATTAGACCATAGAAACACATAATGCACAGACATTTATAAGAGCTCACGTCAGCATAATGCGAATTATCAGACTACAAAGATATGCATGTGCTTGGTACTATTTGTAGCACAACAGACAAACACGATCTTCGGTTTCAGCAGGTTTTAATAATAATAAGGACTTTTTTCATACGCTGGTACTACGAACACTTAACAAGGGCGTGGCAGAGACTGTGAGAGGGGCTATGGGCTGTTTCAGGCGTGACCCAGTGTGACCAGAGCTCGTCCCGGTGTGCTGGCCTTCTGAGCTGTGACTTGACTGTTAGCTTGGCTTGTGTTCTTCTGCCGTTTTCTTCTGGACTGCTTTGTCGGTCTGGTCCTGGTCAGTGTTCAGCGCCCTTCTCTGCCTCTCTCCCCGACTACACTGACAGTGCGGTTTATATAGGAAGGCTGTGACCCTCAAATCTTCAGGGGGGTCAAAACAAGTTCGTGGTACGATAAACCGGTCAACAACTGTCCGATTTATAACCGTCATCTGGTCATGAAATGACACTTGAACCTTTTAGGGGGGGGGGGGTCGACACAAGTTCGTGGTACAGTACACGGGAAACTCTTTGTCAACACTGTCCGATTTATGACCACCACCTGGTCACTGACCCCTTTCTTCTGCTCACCTCTACACAGCCTCTGGCCATACTGGATAGTGTTACATTCGCCCTTTTCTTATTGAGAAATTTTCAGCATAAAATTTCTTAAAAAAATTATGACAATCCGTAGATACATGAATACCTCAAATGTATGTACAAGCCACAACAAGCCGTTGCTAATTAGAATATAGTTAATATGCATACATACATAAATTCACAAATAAAACACATTCTGAAACAGGGTACAATTCATCCTCGCACATCAAGAACCGAAGTGCAAACAGCTGCACCATGTTAAATCGTCTTTCATGCGTTGTGTATATTTTCACAGTCAACTTGTAAAGTTCTGTAGTATGGTGTTCTGATCGTATGCGACGACAACAATTCATGTAGTTCTCTGTTGTCCGTACTCCTATCAACGTGGGTTAGTCAAACTCACGATGCCCTCGGGTACCCGCATCCAGCGTCGGGTAGATGCTCCGTATGGCGGGAGTTGGTCGAACTTCTTCTGCTTGATCGGAGTCCCTTTGTGTCAAGAGTGGCGCAGAGGGTAGGTTTCCTCTTTAGGTGCGACTTGCGCTCCCAGTGTCAACTGGCGCCATCTCAAACTGGGTTGTAGCCAAGACATTCCTCTCATTCCTCGCTTGGTTAGCCAGGGTCTAATAAATCTTACATACAAGAAAATCCCCACAAGAATTCCCACTACAGTTAAGGTTATTCCCAAGAAATATTTCCAATCTGACATCTCCTCATCTGGTACCATAGCCTGTAAATCATTAAGCTGATCAATAAGATGATTCATAGGGATACTCTCGATACTCTTGAGTTTATCAGGTAACCTAGTCAAGTTCAGTTTTATAGCAGTTTTCAAGAAAGGTTTCCAGAGCAACTTGTTGGAAACATTCGGGATATGAACTAACTTCAGAAAATTATCTTCCAACTCGTACTGGCTTTCATTATGATAATAAGGGAGTAAGGTCAAATGATCATTAGATGCTGAACATGATGTGTTCAGTTTAACTATTGCCAACGGAGGTAAGACCACTATGGTATATGAAAACATGTCCGTATCACATACCACTACAAGATCCAATCTTTTATTGGTTGTCAATACCCAGCGTCCTGCAGTAAGGTATTCTGCCCTAGGCAATATAGCATTTGGTTGGACTTCGGTGTGACATGTCTGTCGGACCTTTGTCTCATCTTTCATAAACAGAGCAATTACACATAGTTGGCTAAGATTGAGTGAGTGAGTGAGGTAATGCTTTACGTCACATCGGCAATATTTCAGCCATATCGTGACGAGAAATTAGACATGAAATATACATATATTTAAACTTTATAAAAATCTGTCATCGAAGGACAGTATATGAGAACTAGAATATCACAGATAAGATTTAAAAACTAGTTGCGGAACATTTAAAAGAATTAAGTATTAAGGAACAAAACAATATAAAAATGGGCTAGAGATCGTCAGTAACTAAAGGGAGATCACCACACCAGGGACCATGGGGACTTACAGTACCTTTGCTTCCTGCATGGACCCCGGCAGGATTTACACCATCCCTTCAGTCGCTGGCGATTATATGCAAGTTTAGCCATTGAATAAAACTAACAAATATACTACGATTTAAAAGTCTGGTATGCATAAAAATACTACGAATGGTTTGGGACTTACATACCCTCTTAGGGGGACAATAATTTTACGCTACTTCAACCCCCCTCGAGGGTACAGCCACTCACAATCTAAGTTATTTATTAGCACTACCAATTTATAAAATAATGCATTAAGCACATCAAAATTTATGGACAAGTTCTATTTCTTTTAAAAAACTTAATATTAAACAAGAATTAACATCATTAAAAAGGTCCTTAACTGTTTTGACACTGAAATATTTATCCCTTGTGATGGAAAAATCAATACAGTCAAGCAGGACATGCTTGACCGTGATTCTTTCATCACAAGGGATGCAAAACGGAGGATCCTCACCATTTAAAAGATACTCATGTGTATATCTTGAATGGCCAATACGACATCGTCGCATAATGACCTCTTCAAATCTGGACTGACAGCCCAAGTAGGTGTAACCGATATTTGGTTTAATTTCATGTAATTTATTGATACCTACTTGGGCGTCCCACTTCTGTTGCATAAGATCTCGGATGTAAGATCGAATCATGGGTTTAAAATCAGTGTATGGGATCAGAAGTGGTGTCACAGATTTGTTGAGGGCTGCTTTTGCAGCAGCAGCGGCCATTGTGTTACCAATGATACCAACATGGCTTGGTAACCAACAAAAGACGATGTCATATTGGCCAGTAGCAAGATCATTAAATAATTCGAGAATTTCGATTAAAAGTGGATGTTTGGATGACATATTTTTAATCGCCTGAAGGCATGAAAGAGAATCTGAAAACAGTATGAATTGTTTATATTTAGCTTGATTACTGATATATTTAAGTGCTGTAAAAATGGCGTTTGCTTCTGCAGTGAATATGGAACTGTTATCAGGTAAACGTGAAGATATTGTTCTGGATCCAATGACGGTGGCACTAGCAACTGCGCCACCATCCTTGGATCCATCTGTAAATATAGATTTATAAGTGTCGTAAGTGTTTCTTAGTTGAAGGTATTCTTGTTGGTAAATTAATTGGTTTGTAGCTGATTTCTTTAATTTTGTTAATGTAAGGTCAACCTCTGGCCGTACCATTTGCCAAGGAGGTGTTGAAAACAGTTGAGTTGGAGCTATATCTTGCAGTTGAATATTGGAAGCAAACAAGGCAGACTGGATTCTGATTCCGAGTGGTGGAACAAGAGATGACTTTTTATTGTAAATATCTTGGTAAAGAGGATTGAAGACGCAATTAAAAGCTGGATTGGACTGATTAGAATATAATTTAGTGACATATTGTAAAGATAATTTTAGACGGCGTTGTTTAAGAGAAGGTTCATCCGCTTCTACATATAGACTGTGAATTGGAGACGTCCTGAAGGCACCAAGGCAAAGCCTAAGGCCCTGATGATGTATCGTATCAAGTTTTTTTAAATTACTTTTACAGGCTCCACCATAGACGATGGAGCCATAATCAAGTTTTGAACGGATGAGTGACCTGTATAAGTGTAAGAGGGTTGTTTGATCCCCTCCCCACTTTGAATTAGAAACAACTTTCAATAGATCGAGTGCCTTCAGGCATTTAGCTTTTAGGTATTTAATATGCGGGAGGAAAGTTAAGTGATGATCAAAAATAAGTCCCAAGAACTTGGCTTCCTTAACAACTTTGATAGGGGTGCCATTCAGAAATAGTTCAGGGTCCTTATGCGGTTTATATTTTCGGCAGAAATGTATGCAATTAGTTTTTGATTTGGAAAATTTAAACCCGTTTTCTAGACACCACTTGTTAATTTTATTAAGACATAATTCTAATTGCCTTTCAATTGTGTGCATATTTTTACCCCGGCAAGATAGATTAAAATCATCCACAAAAAGTGATCCATCAACTGAATCATTTAAAACTTTTGACAAACTGTTAATTTTTATACTGAATAAAGTGACAGACAAAATACTGCCTTGTGGGACACCCTGATCCTGATTATAATGATCAGACAGGGTTGTACCCACTCGGACTTGAAATTGCCTGTCTGTTAAAAACTGGGATATAAAATGAGGCAGACGGCCTCGTAATCCAAAATCATGAAGATCTTTTAAAATACCATGTTTCCATGTTGTATCGTATGCTTTTTCTAAATCGAAAAAGATCGATACAGCATGTTGTCTATTTACAATGGAATTTTTAACGAATGATTCTAAACGCACTAAGTGATCGATAGTACTTCTGTTCTTCCGGAAACCGCATTGTATATTGGTAAGAAGATTATTTGTTTCCAAGTACCACACTAATCGATTATTTACCATGCGTTCCATAGTTTTACAAACGCAGCTAGTGAGAGATATAGGTCGGTAATTTGATGGATCAGAATGATCCCGCCCAGGTTTGGGTATTGGTATAACAATGGCATTATGCCATGAAGGTGGAAACGTCCCAGATGTCCAAATATCATCGAATATATTTAACATAGTTTCAAGGCATGATTCGGGCAAGTGTTTCAGCAGCTGATAATGAATATTATCAGCGCCTGCTGCTGTATCATGAGCTTGCCCTAAGGCAGTATATAGCTCATGTAGTGAAAATACCTCATTGTAATCTTCACCATTATCAGATGTAAAATTTACTATTTTCTTCTCCTGTTGGAGCTGATATTTTTGAAATTCAGGAGCGTAATTAGTTGAAGAAGAATGATGAGATAAAGTTTCACCAATGCTATTGGCAATGGCAGATTTATCAGTTAACAAAGTATCGCCATCCTTCAGATGGTTAACTGTAGAATTTGATCCCTTGCCTTTGATCTTTTTGATCATGTTCCATACCTTGGACATAGGGGTACGGGAGTTAATTTTGGAGACATAAGTCTGCAAGGATTGACGTTTATTTTGTTTGAATAGACGTCTCGCCTTAGCATTTGAAATTTTGACGATGTTCAAGTTATGGACAGTGGGATGTTTACGGAAATATTTCTCCGCCTTCTTACGACATTTCCTAGCGTGTTTGCAAGTGTCATCAAACCACGGTTTACGAACACGTGGGTTGATCGAGGACTTAGGTATTGATTCATCAGCAATTTCATTCAGTAGATCTGAGAACAACTGAATCGGGTCAGTAACATTCTGAAAAGACGTAGGTAGTAATTTATCTTTGCATAAATATTGAAATAAAAGCCAATCAGCCTTCACAAAATTCCATCGAGGTAAAGGTGGATCATCAGCGGGATTAATTGGTTTAAGCACCGTGGGGAAATGGTCACTCCCACATAGGTCATCATGGACGGACCATGAGAATTCATTCAACAAAACTGAATCCGTCAAAGACAGATCTAGTGATGAATACGTACCAGTTGCAGGGTGTAAGTAGGTGTCCGAGTCATCGTTAAAGATGCAGAGGTCATTATCAGAAACAAAATCCTCAATGACTTTACCCTTTTGATTAATGGTGGAACTTCCCCATAAAGGATTATGACCATTTAGATCACCCATGATGAGACAGGGCTTTGGGAGCTGGTCGTACAGTTTTTGTAGATCATTACGCTGAAGATTTGAAGATGGAGGAATGTATAAGGAGCAAAGTGTGAAGGCAATATGCAGTGTAAGTCTAACTGCAACTGCTTGCAAATTCGTGTCAAGCGGAACAGGACTGTGAACAACGCCCCGCGGCACCAACATAGAAGCACCTCCAGTAGCTTTATCTCCCGGAGGAGAAAAAGAATGATAGGAACTATACTGCCTTAATTCAAATTTATCTGTATTTTTTAAGTACGTCTCTTGTAAAGAAATTGCTGATGGACGTAAATCTGTTGTTAATAATTGCAGCTCGTTAAAATTGTGCCTAAGTCCTGCAATTCCATTGAAAAATATTTGAATGGTTCATGGCGGTTCTATAGGAGAACGCTCACGTGAACGTGAAGAAGAGTCACCACTCATAGTAGATGGAGTAACATCCATCTCGAGAGGATCAAAGAAATTCTGAACATCAACAGATGTTTCAGTGACAGTAGGGATCTTAGTAGTAATTTTCTTGTTTTGTTTCTTCTTTTGTTTTTTGGGCACTTCAGTCGATGGTTTGTTAGTTGCTGGTAATTCAGGAGTCGGTTTAGGTTGGGCCATAGTCTGAGTCACAACCTGAGATGCTGGAGAGATGCCACATGATTGAGTATCTGAATCATCTGTCTGACTCTCTGATGTTGTAACCACAGGCACAGGGTGTTCAGAGTGTGCCCATGTCAAGTCAGTTTGACATTCTATTGATCTTGTGGTAGAAAGTCGAGAGACAGCAGCAGCATAAGTGTGTACTGATGGAGGTGACCGGCTGGCAATGACTTTTTTTGCTTCCTGAAAAGAAATGTTGTTTTGACATTTGACTGTCAAGATATCTTTCTCATGTTGCCAAAGAGGACATGATTTTGAAGATGCAACATGTTTACCCTTACAATTCACACATTTGGGGTCAGCTGTACAATCTGAGGCATCATGATTTGCACCACAACGGTGACAAACAATCGGACGCTCGCATGATTTGGAACCGTGTCCAAACTTCTGACACTTGTAACATCGGAGTGGATTGGGGACATACACCTCCACTCCGATGTTGAAATATCCTGCCTTTATAGATTGTGGTATGGTCGACAGTGAAAAGGTGAACAAATAAGTATTTGTTGGGACAATGTTATCTCCATCCTTTCTTGTGAAACGTTTCACAGACGTGACATGTTGATCATTGAGTTCATCAAGAATTTCCTCTTCTG